TCGGGCCTCCACACCGCCAGAGCTGTCAGATGTCCACGCCTTATGGCAATAGCCTCAAAAAGCACGTTGGGATGGTCAGTGGCTGAATTCAATGGAAGTCTCAGCTTAACAAACAGTGCCTCGCCCTAACTGGTGTGGCTCAGTGGGTAGAGCGTCGGCCTGCAGACTGAAAGGTCCCAGGTTCGATTCCGGTCAAGGGCACATGCCAGGGTTGCGGATCCCCAGTAGGGGGCGTGCAGGAGGCAGCCGATCCATGATTCTCTCTCATCGTGGATGTTTCTCTCTCTCTCTCTCTCTCCCTCTCCCTTCCTCTCTGAAATCAATACAAAAATATATTTTAAAATTTTTCAAAGCAAGGAAAAATCAAGTGTGGGCAGGAAGAGTCCAAGAAGACCTCAGGAGAGAGGTCAGAGGTAAGAGAGAGGCAGGAGGGGAAAGAAAAGCATGTATGTAGGTGGCAGAGGAGGAAGGATGCTAGGGAAAGGCCTGGAATGGGAGCGTCAGGTCACCGTCCTTCAACATTGCACGTGTCCCCAGACGGCCCCTCACCAGCCACCCTGCCCTGCATTCCCCCGCCTTGACCCACACGTTGAAACTTTGGGCAAAAAAGTAATGAGTCGTTATATTGCTCTCTCTTTTGCAAAAGAAAAAGTCTACTTTTTTGGTGGAAAGTAAGTCATTCAAGAGGTGGAGGTGGGGGAAGCCACCTCCTTCAGGAAGAGGATGGAAATGTTTAAGCCCCTGACCCTGACCTCCTGCCTGCCCAGTCCTTTCCACTGGCAGATGCAGGTCCACTTCTCAGGCCTGGGACCTCTGGAGAGACACTGGCTGGCCCAGGGGACTCGAAAGGGCTGGAAACAGGTTGCTTCTCAGCAATTTGCTTTTGAAGCTGGGGTCCGGGGACTGGGTGGCGGGAGGCTGGTCAAATCCCTGTTTGGAACGCGATGGCGGCTGGCTGAGCAGCTGGGAGACTGGTGACCAAACACACAGGGCTGGAACTGGGAAGCCAGAGGTCAGAGGCCATGGGAGAAGCAAGGTCACAGAACTGTGGTGCCTGACCCTCTCTGGGACCTCTGACCGTGACCGTGGGCAAAGGCACTGCCCCCCTCCCCTCCCCACCCCTCCCCGGTGCCATCTCCTCCTTAGAAGGCCCGGGAAAACAGTCATTATCTGCTTCCGTTTCAGAAAGCCTTTAAATAATTAACATTCACGGGATGGCTTCCAAGTGCTCCGATAGGCTCCGCCGTGAAAATATCGTTATTGTTTTAAGATATAATACATCTCCGTCACTAGCTGTTGGCAACGGGTCTGTTATCTTATCCCGGGAGGGAGCCGTTTGCAAGCTGATTAATTACAACTCCATCTTTCAGGCTTTTTAATTTAGATGTTAATAAATTCAATAATTTTCTGCGTGTATTGTACCCGATGAGACCCTCTGGGAACAGCTTCTCATTGACGACGGTGACCGGGACCCGAAGGCTCCCGCTGTGTTATGAATGCCTTCGATAGGAAATGACGAGCAGCAGGCCATGAACCTGACCCTCTGGCCGGCCTCCCAAAGACCAGACCCACTTCCCGGCCCAAACACCATTATTAAGTTGAATTCACATGCCCACTGCTGGTCTGATCTTCTGTTTAATTTCTCGGCCCAGCCATACTGACTTTTAACTGACTTTGCCTCCATCTTTACCCAAAGGTGAAAAAATGTATAGGGTGTCCCAAAATCCACGCCAGAAGTAATTTTGATAGAAAACACAGGTTTATGATTAAAAATTGTACATTTTTTATTGATTCATAACGTATACAGTATAGGGTTATGGATGGAATAGCACATCGGGTAAATGGCCTCCCCGGCTTGGCTGGCACAGACGCAAAGCCGTGGTCTTCATTGGCCTTCATTGTCCCTGCTCCTGGGCCATCATTGGTACTTGGTCATGCTTATCAAATGGAAGGGATTGAAATCCAAGGGCAACAGATATTAGAATCTGATTCAATAAACCAAGTAAAGTTAGGCTTTTACTTTTTGTTGTTGTTGTTGTTAATGCTCACGCAGAATTCAAATCTTGCGTGAATTTTGGGACGCCCTATAGAAGCAGAGGGAAGGGACTTGAGCTGTGTCCCCCTTCCCTTCCCGCTGGCCCTGCCCCACCTGCCCCCAGGCTAACAGCAGACCATCTGGACGGAGAGACCCAGCCCTCGGCCAGCGGGGGACATGGCGCGGCCAGGCAATCGGGGAGAGTGTCTCACTCCCAGGTGACAGTGGGGCACCCTTGCTCAGGATAGGGGTGGCTATGGGCGGTGGGGGGCTTGGGAACAAGGCCCAGTCAGAGATGATGGGGAGGAGAGGCCTCCTGCCTGTCCAGGGGGTGGCTCCCCGCCCTGCTGGACACTCCAGCCAGCAGCCTCTCTGGGGCCACACTGGGGGGTGTACCGTGGGGTGTAGTCTTTCTCAAAAAGGTCAACTCCAGCCCGGGCGGCGTGGCTCAGTGGTTGAGCGTCGACCTATGAACCAGGAGGTCACGGTTCAATTCCCCATTTGATAACCCAGAGATTGCCAACACAGGACGGAAGCCACTTGTTTTAATGTGCGACCCAGCCTGGTATAAATATCAAAGCGGGGCGGGGGGCCGGGGGAGATTCATGTGGCAATAAAAACAAAAAGGAAAAAGAGAGAGAGAGACTAGAGGCTCTTCTTTAACCACCACAGTGCACCCTGGGACTCTGAGCCGCGAAAACGTGGCCGGTCCCCAGCGGGCCTCTCTCCTCATCGCATGGGGCTATAATTACGTCCGCATCGCCTCTGCGTGTTATTAGTTACATTTCCGACGGTGTCTGCACAGTTGGCGGGGTTCCCGAGGAGGCCTGTCCTGTCGGCACCCAGAGCTGGTGGCACGTCTCCTGCAAAGGTGGCTGAGGCCCCCAGACAGCTGTCTGCTGCAGGCGACAGCTAGGAGAGTTTCCTTCTCCGTCTCCATCCGCCCCTCTCCCTCCCTTCGCCCCCTCCCTTCCTCTCTCACGCCTGGGAGAGCATCTATTAGAATCACTTGTGCAGTAGCTAACGACCCCCTTATAGCGGTTGGTGCTCCCCCTGCATAATCAGAAAGTGCATTGTTGTGTAATTCCGAAATTCATTAGCAGAGAATGCAGGTGGGAGTGGGAGGCCTCCGGCGCTCCGTCATGCATCTGGATTGTGTCTCGGCTCCCGGGAGCATTTCTGGGCTCACCCAGCCACGGTCCCCATAAGAGCCACCTGTGACTCTGGGGGTCGGCCCTCTCCTCTTCACCCTGGGGGGTGAGGGCAGCAGCACAGGCCACAGCACCTGCACCAGAGGCATGGGCAGGGCATGGGCAGTGCCTCTCAGCTGCCCAGAGAGCCCTGAGGGTCCGTCCGGCCCAGGGGATGGAGGGGGGTGTGGCCAAGCAGCCTGAACCCGGGAAGCCCAAGGATCTTGGCCTGTGATTTCCCTCTGACATAGAAGGACAAGGTACCTTAAGCAGGATCGTGCCCAGACAACAGGAACAAGCAAGGAGGATGGCGCTTCCTGCCTGGCTGTGCGGCGGGGCTGTGGGGACCGCCTCAAAGCCATGGAGCAGCTCTGAGCCTGTGACCTTGACCGCCTCCCACCCGCGTTCCCGGAGGTCTCCGTGGAGTGGGGGCTGCGTGACGGCACGTGTTTTCTCGCGTCTGACGCCGCCCGCCGAGGAGCCCACTGCATAATGCATGAGGATAATAGCGGGCAATGAGCAAGGGTGCCTGTCACACCACCTCTGGGTATTTTAAAAGACTGCTTTGTTTCTCATAGGATTTTTTAAAAATAATCTTTCGGCGGAGTGAGTGCACTAGCCCAGGCACAGAGAGGTCACCCGGTCCCCCCAAAGGCACACAGCAATTCTACCACAGCCCAGTGCAACGCGTAACTGAGGAAGACGGGCCTGCCGGGCACCTCCTCGCTGGGGCCTCGCCAATCTCAATAATGATGTGCCCTGGGGGGGCAGAAGGCGTGGGTAGGGGGTCCCCAAAGAAGGGTCCCACTTGGTAAAAGATCAAGACAGTCGCGCGTGAGCAGGAGCCACTAATCATTACTTTCTTAACAATCTGAGCACCTATTCTGTTCCACCTTCCAGCATCTCCACGTTCCGGCTCCTTTATTTCGGGCACAAGCATGCGGAGTTTTAGCCAAATACGTCCAGGTGCCAGAGGAGAGAGAGGCAGTTCTGTAAGCTTCTATGCTCACAGCGTTACCAAAGGGCAGGGACCATCCGTCTCCTCCAGCAGCTGGCTGGTGGCACAGATGGGGGAGGTGGGGTGGTTGGCGCCTACAGGTGCCTGAGGCACCCCCTGCAGTTCTGGGCTTCCCAACCCACCCATGCCAATTTCCCACGCGCGCGCGCTCTCGAAGAGCCTGCTAATGGCGCACAGATTTTAATTCCTCCCACATGCAACATGAGTGCAATCTCAGACATTGTTTGTTTACTCCCCAACAGAAGCGGAGGATGCAAAGGAGCCATAAAAATAAGGCAGGCCGTTTGCCAAACACTCCCTGTTCACAAAGCCTTTCGGAAGGCGGTGTGATCACTCCATTTCAGGATTCGGAAACGGAATCTCGGAAAAAGGGACCCTCCCGTGGGACTCCCAGGGTCCCAAGCTGAGTGACGGGGCCGGGAAGGGACCGCTCGCCCTCCCTCTCTGCTCAGCGCCATCTCTGCCTCCGGGGATGGGAGCCCCGCGTTGGATGGGGATGAAGGAGAGAGCTGGTCAAGAGCCAGGCCTGCCCTAGCTGGTTTGGCTCAGTGGATAGAGTGTCAGCCCGGGGGCTGAAGGGTCCCAGGTTCGATTCCAGTCAAGGGCACATGCCCAGGTTGCGGGCTCGATCCCCAGTGTGGGGCGTGCAGGAGGCAGCCGATCAATGGTTCTCTCTCATCATGGATGTTCCTATCTCTCTCTCCCTCTCTGAAATCAATAAAAATATATTTTAAAAAAAACAAAAGATCCAGGCCCGCACTCAAGGAGGATTTTATTGTAACGCTGCTTCCACAGCACCAAGCCCAGCCCTGCAGCTGGCCCTGCCCCCGGACAGTCTAAGGCACGCAGCACCTCACCGAGGCCGGGAGGGAGGCGGGAAGTGGAGGAAGCGGATTCGCCTCCCTCTCCTGAGAGATGTGGGTGCATCTTTTCGGGGTGTCTTCCTCCGGGGCTGCCCCAGTGGCTGGGACCTAGGAGGAGCCTGCATATGTGTGTATTAGCGCTCGCGGGGGACAGGGATGGGGCGGCTTCCCGTCTTCCTAATAAGCTGGGTCAGTGCAGAGACCATGCCCACCGGGGAGGGAGTGCCAGTGCCTCCCCCGTGAGGGCGAGAGGGGCCGCTCCCAGGTCCGCGTGTGGCCATCCTTGACCCCCAAGGTCAGGCCCCTCCACCTCGGGCTCAGGTGCGAGCACGAGAAATGGCCCCTGGGACGGGTGCGGGCGATCGGAGCAGCAGGCGTCCCTCCCCAGGCCATCAGCCACTGCATCCCAGCTCAGCTGCCGGGGACTGGCCACCTAGGCAGGTGGGCATGGACGGAGGCCTCAGCGCAGGTGCCCAGGTGGTTAGTGGGAAGAGGCACCATCTCAGGGGGCAGGGGCAGGGGGTGAAGCAGGGACAGTCTGGACCAGAAGCTAGAGAATGACGCTTGCTGAGATCAGGCCTCAGGTGAGATCAGCCCATGTCTTGGCCGCCAAGCCCTGGGGGCAGTGGGCCCCCTCACCCCCCGATCGGTGCCCAGAGGCCAGAGAACGGAGTGCAAAGGCATTTAAAGTCCCCTCGGGAGGCCAAGCCCAGGAGGCCCTCGGCCCGCGCTCACCCGGGGGGTTCTGGCAGCCGTTGGCGGTGGAGCTCCGGGCCCAGCGGCCATTGGACAGCACCAGGTCCCACTTGTGCGCCTCCTCGCTGCTCAGGGAGTCGGGGGACCATCTGCAGATCTCCAGGCGGGAGAACTGCCTCAGAAACTCCGAAAAGGACATCCTGGGACAGAGGGACAGACGGGCTCCGTCAAGAGAGCTGGGCTGGGGAGGCGGGGGCAGGGTGCCTCCTGGGCACAGGGGACGGGCACCGGGGCTAGTGCTCCGCTTTCCTACAACCCAGAGACACAAACACAGAGGCTGTGGTCCAGTCTCCTCACCACCGTTACCTTCCCCTCCTTACCTACCAGAGCCCTTCAGACCTCTCAACAGCCAAGCAAAGAGAATGATGCGTGAACTGGGGTCCCCCCAACAAGGCCCCTCCTGCTTCATTCCCACGGATGTCCTCTAAGCCAGGCCGGCGTCCAGGGCATCCGAGCACCTTCCTGAGCCCACCCCCAGGGTTGCTGTCCCTCTTAGGGGGGAAGCTGAGCCTGAGGTCAGAGACCCAGAAAGATGGCTCGTTCCATTGGGACGATAAGGTGAGGTAGGCAGGTGAGAGCTACACGCTGAGGGCCCGGGGCTGGCGCTGCCAAGGCTGTGGACATCCTGGCACAGAGGCAGATCACGCCGGGTGAAAGGGGAGAAGGATGAAAGGCTCCCTGCCCTGGCCGGGAACCACGGCGAATTTCTGCATCACCCGAGGGATTCACCCCACATCCGAACAGGGGGTGAACCCCAACTGTGGGCAGCTCCTCACCAGAACTCTCCATCCTCAGCCTTCTTGTCCAGCTCTTCCTTCTTCCTGGGATCCACGTCATTCCACTCCGGGGCACTGCGGGCGGGGGAGGAATTAAATGACTTTTTTTAAAAAAGATTTTTTTTTAATATATATTTTATTGATTTTTTACAGAGAGGAAGGGAGAAGGATAGAGAGTTAGAAACATCGATGAGAGAGACACATCGATGAGAGAGAAACATCCATCAGCTGCCTCCTACACACCTCCTACTGGGGATGTGCCCACAACCAAGGTACATGCCCTTGACCAGAATCGAACCCGGGACCCTTCAGCCCGCAGGCCGATGCTCTATCCACTGAGCCAAACCGGTTAGGGCTAAATGACTTTTTAAAAAATTTTTGTTTTGGTTAATCCTCACCCAGGGATATTTTTCCCACTGATTTTTTTTTTTAAGAGAGAGAATGGAAAGGGGGAGAGAGAGACAGAGAAAGAGAAATATCAATGTGTCCCTCTGCCTGGGAGCCTCCTGTGCCCAGGAGGCCCCCAGGCAGAGGGGGCCTCCTGGGCACAGGGGATGGGCACCGGGGCTAGTGGCCCGCTTTCCTACAAGCCACAGACACAAACACAGAGGCTGTGGTCCAGTCTCCTCACCACCGTTACCTTCTTCTTCCTACCTACCAGAGCCCTTCAGACCACTCAACAGCCAAGCAAAGAGAATGACGCGTGAACTGGGGTCCCCCTAACAAGGCCCCTCCCGCTTCATTCCCACCGATGTCCTCTAAGCCAGGTCATCGTCCCTCTTAGACAGGAAGCTGAGCCTGAGGTCAGAGACCCGGAAAGATGGTTCATTCCATTGGGAAGAAAAGGTGAGGCAGGAATCCCAGTGACAGCCACCCCCCGCCCACCCACCATGCCAGCAGTGGTGACTCGGAGGAAACCCTCCCATGTGCTCGACACCCTCGGGGACCTCGATCCCAGGGCGCAGCAGTCGGGAGACACCACGGGGGGGCCTCGCAGTCCGGCCACCATCTCTCACTGACTTTCCCTCCCTCCCCAGCGGAGAGGCCTGGCCCAGAGGGGCCTCTGTGGCCGCTAATGGCTTTGCGGGAAAGATCAATACCCGGCTGCCAGGAGCTCCGGGGAGCGCGGGCCACTCCATCCATCACTGCCCGCTGCGGCCAGCTGGTCCCCGGGATGGAGTTCACTTCCTAAGCGGTCATTTCCTGTTGGCGCTGAGGGGCCCGGCCTTTGTCAGCGTGGCCAGGGTTTTCGGAGCGGAGGGAACCCAATTGTGCCGGGTGGATCTCACCTTTGGGTCACCAGGGTGTGGGTGGAAAACAGACAGACCCCGACGTGCAAAGGCCCCGCAGACACCCAGCATCCAAGACTCCGGCTCAGTGGGGTCTGTCTGCTTGGCATTTCCCAGGCTGGAGCCATTGCTACCCTTTTCTGAACAGGCTGCGTGGTTTGAGGGTGGGAAGCACCGGGGACTCACTACACCGCCCCTGTCATCATGGTTGTGTCTTTGCGCGACGCTTTCCCGCCCCGGGGGGAGAGGGGACAGCACCTACTTGTCACTCCAGGCGCCCGTCCACTCCACTTCGCCCCACGGATTCCTGAGTCTGATCAGCTTCTCCGGGCGTCCACGGAAATCCACCTGCAAAAGCCATGACGAAGGCGGTGGCCCCGGCTGCCCTGCGTCCGTGTCTGCACCCCGTTTCTCAAATGTCCCCAAACAGCCACACTTTCATTTGCTTTTAACGAGTGTTTCCAGGCCTGGCCTCACGGCTCTGTTTTTCGCCATTTGGTTGCGTAAATAATAAATCCGGCACAAAAACAAGTTTATGTCTCCTTTCACGTGGGTTTAGGTTTTATAGCCGACTCCGTTCTTACTCTATGAGACCGAATGGTAATAAGTGCCTGCCCGATATATACTCCGCACCCAGCAGTTAGCATTCATGGAGCGTGGACTATGGACCAGGCACAGCGCGAGGCACCCCACATGCGCTATCCCCTCATCTAAACCTCACGACAATCCCGTGAGCTGCGTCTGTTATTTGTTTATTTTATTGATTTCAGAGAGAGGAGAGGGGGAGACAGAAACGTGGATGATGAGGGAGAATCATCCATCGGCTGCCCCCTGCACGCCCCCTCCTGGGGATGGAGCCCGTAACCCGGGCATGTGCCCTGACTGGGAATCGAACCGTGACCTCCTGGTTCATGGGTCGACGCTCAAACACTGAACCACACTGGCCGGGCATGGATCTGTTATTATCTTCATTTCTCAGCTCAAAAATCGGAGACTCAGAGAGCTTAAGTGACCCGTGATGACTTAGTTACTAAGAAGTACAGGGAGGTCAGGCACCTAGTCTGTCTCCAAAATCCATATTCATAAGTGCACCACGACCTCATGCAGCCAGAGAGAGGCCTCAACCAGGTGGGCCCCTCTCTCTCTCTCAGGGACGCCCTGGACTGATGGTCAACATCATGACTCATTACCCTCGCGCTCCCCCTGCCCGGTGTTACCTCCTCGACCCCCGTGACCGAGTACGCATGGCTCTTCACCAGCTTCTGGCGGGTGATGTCTTCCACTTCGGCTGCGCTGGAGACCTGCGTCGGGAACCCAGTCCGCTCAGGGCGGCCGCCCCTGACCTTGTGGGGCTGGTCCTATAACGCTTCCCAAGCACACGCCACCCAGCCCCGGGGCCTCGGTGTGGGGCTGGGGGTGCAGGGAAAAGGAACCTCTCCGTTCGACCCCACCCCCTTTCCTTAGGCCTGCCGTTCTGGGCAGGGCGCTGTGTGGCTGCCAAGCCTTTAAAATGTCACGGAGCCGGGAACTCATTCATCCCCTGCCTGCAGGAGGGATAATGACCCAGACAGCTGCCCTGGACGAGTTCTGGTTCTCACTGTTTTCACGGATCGAGCCTCCCAGCATCCTCCCTGTGCCACAGCCTCCTCCCCCACCCATGCCCATGTCATCCCCCACCAGAAGCACACAGGTCCCGCTAGGATCTTCATAGAGACGTGTCACCCACAGGCCGAGGCCACCAGGTGAGCAGGAGGAAGAGGAGGAGCCGGTGGTCACAGACCAGGGGGCCGGGGTCTCCCTGCCACCTTGGCACTCCGTACAGCCACCCCCCGCCAGGGTGTGGCCCCTGGTTTCAGACCCTCTCGCTTTTTCCAAGTCCATCAAGTTGTCAATCATCGCGTTTGCGTCCCCAAATCCCAAAATTTACTTCCCAACAAGGCCTAACAAAGCAGGGCGAGGATCCAGGGCTCAATGCTGCCTTCTTGGGGCAATTTCCACGGTAGCGAAGGGGCCCCACCAGTGAGGGGAAATTGGGGCTCCCACCGTGAGTCCAACCCCAGTTCCTACCCACTCATTAGGGCTGCACCAGCTCCCACGGGCTGGGACCAAGGTGCCACCGGACTTGCCCATGAAGTCCCAGGCTCCGCTCTGGCCCGAGGCCGGCCCGGTCCCCTCCCGGCCACCCGTGGGGAGGGGAGCTCACGTCAATGGAGCAGGCCAGCAGGGACCCCGCACGGAGGGCCTTCCGGATGATCTGGAACAGGCCGGTCGGTGGCTTCTTCAGGTCAAAAAACTCCGAGATGCCGCCCGTGAAGTCCTCAAACCCCTCCACCGTGGACCCGCCGGCCAGGGCCTCGTAGGAGCCAAGGAGCCTGTTGAAAGGGAAAGCGGGCGCGCACCGTCCACAGCCCTGAGCAGCCCCAGGGAGCAGCCACGTGGGGGGCAGGCACGATGCTGGGACGTGGCTGGTCTGAAGGTAACGGAGGAGGCCTGCCGTCTCGCTGTGGCCGGGGAAGGCGCGGGGCCACCGTTTCACGTGGCTAGCTCAGCACTCTGCCGGGAACGCATCTCAGACCACCTCCCTCCCCCCAGGCCACCCCTTGCCAAGCGTCACCTTTCCAAAGCTGACCCTCGCCTCTTGGGTTTCTGAGGGTTGGGGGGCATGAATAGGGATGAGGGGGACCCTCCCTCAAGGCTGAGGGACACCCCGAGGGACCTGCTGTGGGAACAGGGCTGGAGAGGAGCCGGGGTTACAGAAAAGGGTGCGAAGCTAATTGAAGGCACCCAGGAGAAGGCGTTGAGCATCGCCTGCCAATGGGAAGGAGGACGGTTGAACCAGCGGTCAGTAGACTCTGGCGAGTTTGGTATCTGAGTGCATTCACTTCCTTCTTGTTTTTTATCATCCTTTTCAAAATCCACATGGGCCTGAACACTGCCCGTGGGGTTTCAGAGAAGAGAAGGCTCAGGCAGCCTGGCCCCCCCCCCTCCCCCCATGCACACACTCCTGTGGACAGAGCTGAGTGGGCCAACCCCCAGCCCGAGCTTCTGTCTCTCTCTGTCACTGAGGGTCCAGCCCAGCCGTGGGCAAACTACGGCCCTCGGGCTGGATCCGGCCCGTTTGAAATGAATAAAACTAAAAAAAAAAAAAAGACCGTACCCTTTTATGTAATGATGTTTACTTTGAATTTATATTAGTTCACACAAACACTCCATCCATGCTTTTGTTCTGGCCCTCCGGTCCAGTTTAAGAACCCATTGTGGCCCTCGAGTCAAAAAGTTTGCCCACCCTGGTCCAGCCCATGGGGGACCAGGTGCCGGGGAAGACTTGGATGTGACACCTTGAGTTTGGGGGCGCGGGGGCAGGTGAGATCCTCCAGGAAGACGGTGGGGTCTCCTAGCGCCTCACCCCCCACTTACTTGGCGTAGGCCTTCTCCAGCAGCGCGCTCCAGAACTCGCTGCCCTCGGCGGAGCGCAGGAAGAGCAGCTGCCCGTCCCGCGTGGGCAGCCTGTCGTCCACCACCACCTGCACCCACTCACCGCGCTGCCAGAACTGCGGGGGGAACACGGCGCCGCTCAGGGGGACCCCGGAGGAGCCTCTGGGAGGCTCAGTGCTCAGGTCTCGGGCCTTTAGTGGACTCCAAGTTCCTGAAGAGCAGGATTGGGGGTCTTACTCATCCATGCACATAGGCCAGTGATGGCGAACCTATGACACGCGTGTCAGAGGTGACACGCGAACTCATTTTTTTGGGTTGGTTTTTCTCTGTTCAATGGCATTTATATATATAAAATAAATATCAAAAATATAAGTCTTTGTTTTACTATGGTGGCAAAGATCAAAAAATTTCTATAGCTGACACGGCGCCAGAGTGAAGTTAGGGTTTTCCAAAATGCTGACACGCTGACCTCAAAAGGTTCGCCATCACTGACCTAGGAGATGCTCAAGGAGTCGGGAAGCATCGAGTCCCGTGTCTGCGTCTGTGGTGACGGTGTGTGACTCAGAACCATGTCTCCTGACATTCCCCCCCCCCCCCCCGCACTTTCCTCGGGGCCCTGAGGCCTGGGGGAGGCGGTGGGGGTGGATGTGTAGGTGACCGGATGGATCTCAAGCTCAAGGGTGTGTCAGAGCCACCTGGAGGGGCCATGAAAACATAGGCCCCGGGGCCCGACCCCAGAGCTTCCGATTCTGTGGATCTGGGCGGGACGATGGAAGGGAGCGTCAAGGGCGGCGAGCAACGCACAGGACCTGAAAACGGAAGATGCCCGCGTAGCTCTCCTGGAAGCTCTGGTCCCTGGGCACCACCCGGTGAAGCAGCTCTTCGTTCAAGGTGAGGGACGCGATGGCCGCCAGGAGCCAGCAGTCGCCTGCACCGGGTAGTGGGGACACACTGGTCAGGCCAGGCCGGCAGGGTCCTGCTTTCTCTCCCTTCCACGTCCGACTCTCTCCTTCCCCCCGCGTCTCAAGGTCACGGGCAGCACAGTCAGCTCCTGCTGCCGCGCTGGGAGTCGTGTACGCGGATAGAAATGTCTCTGGTCCCCCCGATCAATCGCCCCTGCGTGCTGACCATTTCACATCTCAGAGCGCTCGGCCAGTGGGAAGCCATGGAAAGAACAAAAGCCAAAATGTCTTTTGGGGACTGAAAGGTCCCAGGCTTGATTCCTGGTCAGGACACCTGCCCGGGGTTGCTGGCTCGATCCCCAGTAGAGGGTGTGCGGGAGGCAGCAGATCAATGATTCTGTCTCATCATTGATGTTTCTCTCTCTCTCTCCTCTCCCTGCCTCTATGAAATCAATAAAAAAATTAAAATGTCTTGTTTGGCCTTAACCAGTCTGGCTCCGTGGATAGAGTGTCAGCCTGCGGACTGAAGGGTCCCAGGTTCGATTCCGGTCAAGGGCATGTACCTTGGTTGCAGGCACATCCCCCCCAGTTGGGGGTGTGCAGGAGGCAGCTGATTGATGTTTCTCTCTCATCGATGTTTCTAACCCTCTATTCTTCTCCCTTCCTCTCTGTAAAAAATCAATAAAATATATTTTTTTAAAAAAATAAAAATGTCTTGTTTGGTTCCTTAAAAGCAACTCTGATGAGACATTCGGTTGGAGGAAACATCTGTTTGCCAGGCCAAGGTGGTGTGTGTGTGTGTGTGTGTGTGTGTGTGTGTGTGTGTGTGTGTTCCTTGCCCCCGTGATGTTAGATGACAGGAAGTTGGCTCTCTGTGTGTTTAGAGGACTGCCCTGTTGTGTTTGAGAGCTCGGCATGACAGCCTCGATGCCTCATTGCTTAAGACAGTCTTGAGACACTGACTCGCCTTACGTCATCCTCATCGAGGCAGAAGAAATAAAGCCAAGAGGTTAAAGAGTCTAGGGCAGTGGATCTCAACCTTCCTCATGCTGCGACCCTTGAACACAGGTCCTCATGTCGTGGTGACCCCCAATGTCATTGTTACAAATCGAACATCATTAAAGCATAGTGGTTCATCACAAAAACAGTATGTCATTATAGATGTGTTTTCCGATGGTCTGAGGCGGCCCCTGTGAAAGGGTCGTTCGACCCCCAGAGGGGTCGCGACCCACAGGTTGAGAACCGCTGGTCTAGGGTTTAATAATGGTCAGCTCAGAGATCCCAGCAAACGCAGAAGGAAACAGGAAACCCACTCCGGCCGGCGTGGCTCAGAGGTTGAGCCAAGACTATGAACCAGGCAGTGACTTCAGAGAGTTTCCCAAACACCGAGGGGCAACGTGGAGACGCTACAGAGGGGGAGGAGGAGGAGGAGGAGGAGGAAGGGAACGAGAGAGAAAACGCCAGACACTGGAACCCCCTCCCCTTCGACGTTGAGCAATGGCCGAAGCGGGAACCATCGTTTTCAAGGCCAAGAGGAAGGCCGAGCAGAGAGAACCTCTGTCCTGCTTCCCACGGGGACTCGGGGAGCAGAAGGTGAGAGAAGGTGGCGAAGAGCACCCCTCGTGTTCCCTCTGCTGTGGGAGGGTGTCCACCGAGGGCGGGGAAGGGAAGACAGAGGCTGTGGAGACTGGGGGGGTCAGGGATGGATGGAGGGCGTGCCGTGTCCCTGCACGGAGGTGGCCGGAGTCAGCCAAGAGGGCCACCGGGTCCTGACAGCACAGAACAGACCACACAGCGCTGCCGTCGCCTCTCCAGGAGCCCAGCCGAGACCCAGGGGGCAGCTCCGGGCACACGGGGCCCTTCCCCCACGGCCCCGAGGACAGAGGCCCTTCCTGGTACCCAGGTGCTGCCCTGGGGGGGGCGGCCCAGGGGTCTGCAGAAGCAGGAAACCATCCCTGATGCTGACAAAACAGCATGTCTGATGAGCCACGTGGTCCTCAATCCTGCAGGCATCCCACCTCCAGCCGGCCCTGAACCCGCCACATGACCCCCCACCTCCCGTGGTGTTTGTAAATGAAGAATCAAACGCACTTTCCTGGAATACCTCCCTCACGGTGTCGTTGTAGCCGCCGGCCTAGAGCAAGCTACCAGCAGGCCCGAGCCCGGCGATCCTGGCATTGCGGGGCCCAGGGACTCTCAGGCCCCCCTCTAATAGCACCCCCTGCTCACTCTCTCTCCTCTCCCGTGGCTCTCCTCTCTCCGTGGCTTTTACCACCGCCTGGCACCTGTCTATGTTTACTGGTTGTTTTCCCCATTAGAACGGAGACTCCCTGACATCCAGCATCCCCACCCCCACCTCACGGTTGTATCTTTGGCGCAGAGTAGGTGCTCAGTCCATATTTGTAGGGTGACTGTAGAGAGGGACCTGGGCCAGATTTTGCCGTTTTTTAAAAAGAGAAGCCAGGAATCTGTTTTCTGATTGTTTTAAATGGAAACCTCCCGGTCCTGAGACATCCATCACTGGGCAGGCAGCGCTGCACCGGCCGAAAGGAATAACCCTGCAACCCTGCAAGCCACTGGCCTGGCTCGGCCCTCCCTCCAGCCCACGCCAGCCCTCCTCGGTCAGTGGCTCTGCAGTCGGCTGATTCACCCTCCTGATCCTCGCTGAACTGCTGCTGGGCATCCCTGGAGGAATGATGTGGGTTTTATTGGTCTGTTTTGTTTTTGTTGAGGAGTTCCAGCCACACGGGTGCCGGCTGCTGGTTGAAATCGCTTTCTCTGCGGTTGTCTGCCCCCCTGGGACCTGGCCAGGGTCCCCTCTCCCCGAGTTTTGCTTCCTTCCTGTCTCCTTTCGCATCGCTGTGCCTTGAGACACAGTAACGGGGTGTTTTCCCGGCCGAAAACGCCTCGCTTTCTGCCCACCACACCCCACCAGGCTCCCGGGCATTTTCGCATCTGAGCTCACGTCGCCTGGTCTCTTAATATGTTTGAGGCTGGGCGGCCATCCTCATGTTGCCATGGAGACCCTCCATCATCCTTTGTTTCAGAGTGGATGCCCTCACTGGGAAGCCCCCGGGGTCCCCAGCTCGGACTGGGGGGGTGCCAGGCCGTTTGGGAGGGGGCAGTGCCAACTCTGCACCTTGCCGTGTGGATGCCAGCCTGGGCCTGAGCGAGCGATGGATCTGAGAGCTCATCTTTCCATTTCTGTCTCGGTTAGCCCTGGCCCCAGCATCTTGTCTTATTTTTGCACCCAAAGGGCCACAGAATTCAGCTCAACCAGCACACCCCTTCCTCACACGGGCTCCAAGATGTGTCCCCACCAGGCCCAGCGCACAGCCAGGGAGGGTGGCCAATCGTATTGTGATAACTACGCACAGGGCCAGGGAATCTCTCTGTACGTCATACGTCACATAAATGTCTAACCCAGCGTTTCTCAACCTGTGGGTCGCGGCCCCTTTGGCAGTCGAACGGCCCTTTCACAGGGGCCACCTAAGACCATCCTGCAGATCAGATATTTACATGACGGTTCATCACAGTAGCAACATGACAGTGATGAAGTCGCCACGAAAATAATGTTATGGTTGGGTCACCACATGAGGAACTGTATTGAAAGGGCCAGAAGGCTGAGAACCACTGGACTCTAACCAATAGGCTGTGCACCTGCAACGAATATGACGTTGAATGGCGATTGTCATTGGAAAATGTTGAATCAATAAATTAATTGCTTTCCAAAGAGGTTCCAGTGATACTGATTTTTAAATAACAACAACAACAAAAACACCACCTCATCGGCTGGGCTACCCCTGGGCGGCCCCCTGGCGAGGCCCCACGGACTTGGGTGGGAGCTGGGTGCTGAGAGTCAGTTTGGGTGGTTTCCTGTTCTCCAGCCCGCTCCAGCCCTCAGCAGCACGCACTCACCATGGTAACGCTCAGGCCTCCTTCCGGAAACATAACGATTCAAGGGAAGAGCTATCCAGGCCCATCAATTCAACGAGGCTTATTAAATGCCTGGTACTAAGTTAAACATCACTAACAAGGAGCTGCTAAAAGACTCCGTGGGAAGTCGCGCTTCCCTGAGCCACGTGGGAAATTAGGTGGCACCTGACGCCTTCTCCCTGCTTAATGCTCGCCCCCAGGAGCTCTGGCTCAGGGGGTATCTGCGGTGCTCATTAAAGGAGAGAACATTAGAGGCGTTTAAAATTAGGTGCCCTGTGACCTGCAAAATCACAAACATTTCCAGCGGATTGGAAACGTTTTCCTGGCTAGGACCAGGAGGGAAAAGGGGAGTCGACCCCCGCAAAGCATGAAGGCTATCGGGTCCAGATGGATGCTGAGATTTGGGTTGTTTTACTGCTTTTCACCACGTGGGATTTGTCTCCTCGCGGCTCTCCTTTCCTGCCCCGTGTTCTGCGGCTGCCAGGGGATGGCGGTTTAGAATCCCAGCGAATCTAAGTCAGAGCCACGCTGTCCCCGGAAAGGCCAGTATTGTCCCACTCGGCCACGAGGCCCTGGGATCAGGGATGCGTAGAAGGTCAAGAGCAGAGCACCATCTACTACCTGGGGGTCTGACACGTGAGGCCAGAACTTACAAAACAAAACAAATGATTTCCCAAAGCTTAACTGCACCCGATTGGAGGGAATATGAAGGGCTGGGAGGGGAACATCTTCTTAGTCCCAGGATCCCAGGCCCGTGAGAGGAAGCTTGGCTAGAAAGAGAGGATCCCTGTTTTCTTACCAATTACAGAAGCATCTATTACAACAGTCCCTAATTGCAGAGACGTGGCCATTTTACGGGGCAGATTAGGTCCACTTACAGGTAACTACAGGCGGTCAAGTCTAACAGCTGACTCTGACGTCACCCGTGCCACATGCACCCCCGCCCTGCGCGGAACAAACAGGACGGTCCGCCTACTCACCCAGACCACCTTGACAGATGTCCGCGCGGGTGGCACCACCAGCGATGAACTGGGGGCTGGGGCACAATTCCTGAAAGCAATTGGGGACAAAACACAAGTCATAAGATGCCCGGTGATGGTGGCCACGAGGGTAAAGATGGCTTCGGAGTCCCTGAACTCAGGCTTCACAGCAACCTAGGAGATCATCTCTCGTCCCCTCCTCACCTATCAAAGGTGTCCTCAATCTCCTTCAAGGGTTCCTCCGCTCCACTCCCCCCCTAAGAAGCAGGGAACCCCTGGCCAGGCCTCGGCCCTCTGCAGGGACCCCGTTTCCCGTAGCAGTAGCCTGCCCAAAGCATCCTCTCTCGGGGACAGCGCCCAACCCCGTGGCTTCGACTCCTGACAGCGGAACACGCTGACATGTCCCAAGTTGCTTGCCTGAGCCGGCCAGCCCGTTGCCCAGGTCACACTGTCCGTGCGATATCAGCTCATTCGACGCATGGCCGATAAGCCTACCGGATTCTGCTGAAATGTTGAGTTCGGTTTAAGAGACAGAGTGGTTTGCAAAGGCCAGAGACAAGTTGAAGTGTGATGAGCAGGACGGTGCTAAGCGGGGTGTACGTGGAAGGAATGTTCATTCTACGGCATGTTCTTCTTAGCAGGTTTCAAAATGCACCTCCCCTCCCCCCGACCCAGGAAAAAAACAACCCAGGGACGTCATGACTAATATGTCATGAATCTTTCGGGGGCCACAGGGCGTCCCTGGCTTTGTAAGGGGATGGCATCTCAGCCTAGGCCGGAAGAACATTCCGGAAGTCTTCTCTCCAGGGCTAACTGTCTACTGGAACTCGGATCGGAGACACAAAGTAGTTTGGCCGCCAAAAAGGCTGAAAAGAGGCCAGGAGGCTCCCCACCCACCCACCCACCTCCACAACACACACTTGGGACACTGTTTTTTTTCCTTCCTGAATAACAACCACATCTTGTCATTAGCAGTGTTGACTATTACTCAGGTGAGGATCTCCGCACACTCCATAAACACACATGACTCAGGCCTTGCTTGCTTCGGCCCCTGATGAATGGGTTCGAGGGAAACATGGGCACTGGTAAGGGGTCGGAGGCAGGAAGGCACTGCAATCGCATCTTCTTGCGGACGAAGGCAACTTGCAAGCATTGCTCCCAGGGCGTTAGACCATCACTGGTCGCTGTCAGGACCCTCTGCTTCCTCCAACCCCAGTGCCAAAGTCTCTCTGCAGTAATGAACCTGCCCCACCGCCTTCCCCACAGTGCAGAGCCGATGCCTGACACCAAAAGAGGCCTAGCCCTGGCCGGTGTTGCTCAGTGGGTTGGGTGACATCCTGAGCACTGAAGGGTTGTCGGTTCGATTCCCAGTAGGGGGCAGGCAGCTAATGGATATCACACTCTCACGTCGATGTTTCTCTTTCTCTCCCTCTCCTTTCCACTCTCTCTAAAAATCAATAAACTATTCTTTCAAGAAAAACAAAACAAAACAGAGGCCTGAAAATACTGTCTGTTGAAACGAAATGTAGCTGTCAACTCTTGAGACAAGAATATAAAACCATCACATAGAGGGGATAAATGATGATGGGGGAAAAAATGAAAGAAAGAAACCCCCAGTTAAAACAAAGAAAGAAAGAAAAGAAAGCCATGATTCCCAACCTTGATTTTGCCAGCATCCCAGAGGAATGCCAGATGTTTCAAGAGGGGTGGGCAGACGGACCTGGGTGGGCAGGAGAGAGGCAGGCAAAGGAGTTACCCTCAGGGGTAGAAACTGTGGGGCAGAACTGGTCGTATGAAAATAAAGGGGCCCTGGCCAGTTTGGCTCAGTGGATAGAGCGTCGGCCTGTGGACTCAGGGGTCCCAGGTTCGATTCCGGTCAAGGGCATGTACTTTGGTTGCGGGCACATCCCAGTGGGGAGTATGCAGGAGGCAGCTGATCGATGTTTCTCTCTCATCGATGTTTCTACTCTCTATCCCTCTCCCTTCCTCTCTGTAAAAAATCAATAAAATATATTTTTTTAAAAAAAGAAAAAGAAAATAAAGGGGTAGGGATAGGATTTGGCCATCTATCTATAATAATAAAAGCGTAATATGCTAATTAGACCGAACAGCCGAACAGCCAAACAACCTTCTGGACATCCTTCCGGACGACCTTCCGGACGAAGCCAGGGCTGTGAGGGCCGAGCCCCTTGCGCGAATTTCGTGCATCGGGCCTCTAGTATCCAAAGAATGATCTTCTTATCCTCCCTTGTCATCCAGGGCCAAGAAAACAGGTACCACGACTTGATTTTCCCATCATGCTCTAGAAGGCAAAGGCTCCCTGGCCAACAGCCACGGAACATGTGCTCTTATGAGACTTCTTACGTGGCAGACGCTGAACAGACTCTCTCAGTCCTCACAACCACCCTGCAGAGGGGGCTCCGACCCCTGAGGGCAAATCACGGGACACGGGTCCCGTCGCGGTAGGTCACGGACACGGGTTTGGGGGGGGGATGGTTCTCCATTCTCTGCCTCTGAGTTTGGGGTGATACCGGTGACAGCATTCAGGAGGCCCTGAGTTCCAGCCGCGTTCACAGCCCCACAGCCCCCACCTCTCCACTCACTAGCCCTGATGGAACAGTGACCCAGCTCGTGACCTTGAGCAATGGCTGCACCTTTTAGCAACCATGTCACCACTTACCCCCGACCAATGGTGACATCTATCATTGGCCTGTTCCCCGGTGCCCTGGCCCAGGGGCCCAGGCGGTCACGACCACGTGGTCTGTGCCTGTCGTGGGCCAGGCATGATGCTCGGAGCTTCGTCTCTAGCCCTCATACCAACACTGAAAAAATCAGGTGCCAGTGGCTCCATTCCGCAGATGAGAAAACTGAGGCTCACAGAGGTTATGGGTCCAAGACCACACAGGCGGAGCCAGGATTCAAATCTAACTCGTCTGATCCCAACGCCTCTGCGTGCTCTTCCCTCTAACCTCACCGCCTCTGAAAAAGATTGTTAAAGGGAAAGGGTTTCTGAAATATGGAGTCTAAGAATTGAGGATCCAGAGCCACACCTTCTCCCTCAACTACTTCTGACCTGAAGCCAGAGCCCCCCATCCTGCCTGACACCTCACAGCAAGCCCGTCTCCTTACCGGGGGCCGCTTCCAGACAACGCCTTGAGTTTGGGGGGAACGTGGTCCAAGATCCTTGTAGCCCAAGGCTGACGGACACGCTGGGAACTCGGGGTCCTTAAACAGCACCCCTGAATCCAAGCACTGCTGCCTGAGCATCTCGAAGTCCTGGCCCAAGTACTTCACAACTTTCTGGTTGGAGCCAAGACGTTCGGCTGCCGCCCGCTGCCTGGACACCTGGGCCGCCGGAGCTGCCATAGCCTCGGGTGGGCTCCGTGGGTGGGCTGCGTGGGGCGGACAGGAGGGCAGGGCTGCTCCGTGCTGGCGGCCCCGCGGGAGGGGAGCTATAAGGCCGCCTGGAGGGAGGTGGGGCTGGCAAACATTTCACCCGAGGCGCTCGATCTGGAGGGAATGACTCATGGCCGGAAGCAAACAGGTACCCACGGTGCCCAGGAACATGCCCGCCTTCCCTGCCTGCCTTTCCCCCTGATCTGGACGCTGGGGAACTCCCAGGGCCCCCCGGACCACTAACCTGGAAGATTCATTAGGATCCCAGCAGCCCCCCTCTTTGCAGGGCCTGCATGCCCCCCACCCCACACCCCGTGGGCTGAGTCGAGAAGCTGTCTGGTAGCTGGAGGCTGGGACTCACCAAGACTTTGGAGCCGTGGCTCTGAGAAGGAGGGGGGCCAGGGGTTCAGGGGGGTCCCCTTTCTTTCCAGAAAAGTGTGGTTCCGCATTTGCTAGGCGGATACAAATATCAGAAAGGGCTGATTCACGGAGCAGATCAGAGGAAGCCCAATGGGACGTGGTGCCTGCGCTGTGGGAGGTGTTGGCCTCTGGCGGCCTGGGTGGCTCGCCCAGCTCCATCCCCTTCGGCGAGTGACTCAGCCTCCCTCCCCCTTCGGTTCCTCATCTGCAAAATGGCAGATAATAGCAGGCCTACCTCACCAGGTTGTTAGGAGGAGGGATGAGACAGGACGCGTCCTGGGCTTAGATTAGTGGGTGAGGAGGGCTCAGGACACGTCAGCTGTCATATCCCCAGGGACCAGGACCGGACAGAGGAGGCCTGGGAGCCTCATATTAATCCCTTTCCTCGGGGCTCCCATCTCCTAGGCCTGGGCTACCCTAAGGACGTGGGCCACATCGGTGATTTCTGAATCTTAGCGTGTGGGAAGCTGGAAAATGGTCCCCCAGCCCTAGCCGGTGTGGCTCAGTGGATAGAGCGTCAGTCTGCAGACTGAAGGGTCCCGGGTTCAATTCCAGTCAAGGGCACAGGCCCCAGTTGCAGGCTCGATCCCCAGTGTGGGGCGTGCAGGAGGCAGCCAATCAGTGATGCTCTCTCATCATTCATGTTTCTAACTCTCTATCCCTCTCCCTTCCTCTCTGTAAAAAATCAATAAAATATATATTTTAAAAAATAAAAATAAATTTTTTTTAAAAAGAGTACGACAGAGTTCTGCTGCATGGCTGGTGGGAAGGGAAAACATTGGAAAACATCCTGCAGCCCCTCCAAATGGAACCACAACGAACATTCCACTCCATGGACTGAAAGACGGGAAAGCACAAGACCACACCAAGGCCTGTCCTCAAAGACGGTGACGGCAACGTTCATAACAGCCAGAACATGGAAACAACCCAAGCGGCCATCGGTGGACGCACGGATGAACAGATGCGCACGGTGTGGCCATAGAGTGGAATAGTATGCAGCCATGAAAAGGAATGGAGTCCTGATACGCGCTGCCACCCGGATGAACCCTAAAAACATTATGCCGAGTGAAGGACGCCATGGCAGAAGGCCTCACGCTGTCTGCGCCCAGTTGTAGGAAATATCCAGAATAGTAGGCAAATCCATAGAAACACACCAAAAAAAGGAAAGCTAAACATGAAGACCGGAATACGGGTCCTGTCCATCTTGAAGAGGGATCGATGGGTGGGAGAGGAGCACAGGGCTGTTGGGAACCAGGACCGGGCCAGACGGAGCCCTGCCCTCCCTGCGGCCATGCCCGGATGTCGCCTCTCAGATCAGCTGAGATTCTAGCTAGCTGTCAGCGGCGGCTGGTCTGGTCGGTGGTAAGGAGGCTGTAATGGTATCAAAGCCGGGATGTTGCGGCTCCAGCAGCTGGTGGTCTCTGCTGCCCCCTAGAGCCCTGTGTGGTCCCAGCAGGCCTGGTGGACTCCTTAAAGCCAAGCGCTTGGTGTAACTTGGTCTCTGTACCCACACTCGTATCCTGTTTTGTTCCTCAGAGGGTGGTTTTTCTGAAAACACCTAGAAAGAATATCTTAATCACGTTTTTCATGACTAGGGCGTTCTGAAAATTGAGCAAGGGGAAGAATCCTGCATGCATCCCGCCTTTCCAGTCCGGGCTATTGCAGGGTCACTGGTTGGTAGGGCAATGTTTTTCTTTATAGGAGAACTAGAGGCCTGATGCACAAAATTCGTGCAAGAGTAGGCCTTCCCCCAGCTGCTGGCACTGGCTTCCCTCTGGCACCTGGGACTCAGGCTTCCCTCCCAGCCCTGGCTTCGTCCAGAAGGTCGTCCGGAAGGTCGCCTGGAAGGACGACCGGTCTAATTAGCATATTACGCTTTTATTATTATAGACTGCAGCTATAGGAAAGCAAGCGATAGAATTAGAAGTCACCGTTGTCAGCCCTTAATGGTAAAACTATCAGATAAAAGGCTAATGAGGAACTTGATAATGATTCTATCTGAGCTCACTTATTAATCTGTGCATCACCAAAAAAGGGGGCGCTAGTGCCTTCTTACCTGATACAATAGGATGTACAACACAGGCCCACCTGGGAGGACTTCTGTCCTCTCTCCGAAGCGGAACTTGAACCGACTCAAACGTCCAGATCCAACTGCATTTTTTAGAGAAAAATAAAAGGTTAAGCAGGGTTTTCCAAGGTCTGTACTATTGACAGTTGGGACCAGAGAGTTCTTTGTTGGGGGAGGGGGAGGCTGTTCTGTGCATCATAGGATGCCTAGCAGCACCCTGGCCGCCCCTCACTAGTGTCAGTAGCACCCCTGCCGTCATGGCAACCAACAACATCCAACATTGCCAAGTGCCCCCTGAGAGGCAAGAGCGCCCCCAGTTAAATGCCACTGGGTTAGAGACACGTGTTCAATGACACTATGAGGATGCAGTCGGCCAGCCGGGCAGCCCACATCCAGGGACTGCGAGGGCAAGGGAATAAAGACTGCATCGCATTTTGGCTTCCCGCTCTGACCACCTCTCCCCACCTCCACTCGCAGATGCTGGTCCCTGATGGGCTCTGCAAGTCCCCCTCCTTCTCAGCTCCTGCTTCCCGGGAACCCAGCCCCCCAACAGTCACTCAGTTTAATGCTCTCCTGTCACCATCGTGAAAGTGTACAAGGGCCTCGTATATGAATCTGCAGAAACCTGAGCCAGAAAACTCTTATAACCACTCGTAATATCAAATTAATTAATAAATAGTATTCATTGTATTATATAAAAGTATGACACCAAAAACTATATTGTTGCAGATTGAAAGTTTACGTTGTTTCTCATGTATTACACTTATTACAGGTTAAAAGAAAAAATATTTTTTAAATATATTTTTATTGATTTCATAGAGGAAGGGAGAGGGAGAGAGAGGTAGAAGCATCAATGATGAGAGAAAATCATGGGTCAGCTGCCTCCTACATGCCCCCCTCTGGGGATCAAGCCCACAACCCAGGCATGTGCCCTTGACTGGAATCGAACCCAGGACCCTTCAGCCCGCAGGCCGACACTCTATCTACTGAGCCACACCGCCCAGGTCAAGAAAAAAAAATATTTTTAAAGGAAAAAAGTTTTAGATTTTAATGGCACTTTTCCCCCTGGGTTTTGATGAATGTGGGAACATTCATTTTCATTTTTCATTGAACCCTGAACGCCTGCAGCTGGCCCTGAGGGCAGGACCATGGACCACTGACTTGGCTGTCCCATAGGCGGACTACTTTAAGCTATTACCAGCTATTTACACCTTCATGCGAATGAACCTCAGATACTTCGATGAAAGACGGTTTTAAAATGTATAAGGTGCTAGGGACACCGCATCCGTGGAAGACAGAGAGAAGACCATTAAGACGGGAAAGCGTGATGAGTGGGGGACAGAGGCCTGAAGATGAACCCCAAGTTTTGCTCCAAGTTAGGCTTTGTTAGAATCTTGTTCCTGACACTGTGCGAACAGTATACACAGCCTGGCTATTGAAAACTAAAAATTAGATGTCATTTGAGTCATAAAAAAAAAAAATTCCCTTGCCACCAAAAGTACACACTCCAACCACATGTAAAGCGGAACAGTCAGGAACATCATTCAACCTCCTGTTTAAGACTGGCTTTAAGAATGGCTTGGCGTTAGAGAGCTGGGGCTGCTTTTATCCTCTGGGGTGCTTTCGAGGGAGAGCCGTTTCTCGGGGTTGCAAGCAGAGAAAAATATCTGGAGTTAATTAAAATGTGTTCCCACTGTCATTCTCCAAGTGGGCGGAAGAGCTAATGTGTCGTTAGGGTATCAGCAAAAGGCGAGTCAAAATAGGTTGCTGGTGGATCGAACGCACCCCTCCTGGGACACGGTCAGGCTTGGTTTTTTTGCGTTCTGCTGTATGTCTATTCGCTATTTCTATTTCCATGGCCACCCTGTGCAAAAACGTGAGGACTTGTTCGTAACACTCGCTAAGGGTCGTGGAACAAACCCAACCAGTCAGACTCAGAATCACCCGGAAAGGGAGAAAGAGAAGAACGAACCCAAGAAATTTTGCCCGTAGTTTTGAGCATATATACTCAGTTAAGACAAAAAAAAAAAACCTATAAACAAATATTGAACATGGATGAGTAGTTCTCGTTTTCACGGTGTACGGGTTAGCAATTCCGAACTACTTTCCGTGCATTCTTGGGCTAAGCAAAAATGGAGAAGTATACGAAGAATGACGGGAAAGGGAACTACAGATACGGAAAGAGGGAGATTTACAACAAACCATATGGCACTGCTTTGGAATTGAAGGTCAGGTGTAACTTCTCGTGCGTTAAAACCTGATTTCATTATTCATGTATCCATTTATCCACGTGTCTTTATTTGCCTGTCCTCTCGTGATTTATTTACCCAATCACGAGAGAACCGGCGGATGGTAAAGCTGGTTCTGAGAGCATGTAAGAGACGAACTGTGACAGGTGCTGAGTGAAGGTCGTTAGAATTTCTGGGTTACATACAAAACTGGGGAACGCCATACAGGGTCCTAAAACTGTAACCTTTCGGGTTGTGGGGGTGGTGGTGGTGGGTTTTTTGATTGGTTTGGTTTCTGGCTTTGGTTTTA